AACAAGAACATCAATTGCTTGTCACAAGTGACAAATGCATAGAAACCAAGATTTAAAACGGGGACTACCAAGACTGCACGTAAGAGTGAGAAGCCCTGACACTCAGTATGATTCATCCACAAAGGGGAGTAACGATGCACAAAGAATCTTGGGACATTTCCCAGCCATATTTTGCTGAATAACAAGCACCAGATTCTAAAACAAATTCAGGTAAGAGGGGGGCAGAATAGTGTTTTAGAGAACATTTTTCCTGCTCTATCGCAGTTACACAGCAATGCAAAGAGCAGGAACTGTAGTAAAAATACGTGAAATCACCAGCTTCTTCCTCATGTCCTATCCGGGGATAGTAGACTTGAGAAGAGCAGGCAGTTCGGTGAAGGAGTTTAAAAAACATCTGTCCCTTCCTTCCAGCGGTAAAGACAGTGACTGCACAACCTCCTTCCAGTTTATTCCAGTCCGGCTTCAGTGCGGCTTCGTCTCCCACCCAGCCGGAGTCACGTTCCCACCTCCTGCTTTCAGCCCGCCGGGTCTGCATGTTACCAGCCGCCCTCCGATCACACCTCCCCGGTTCCTGTCCGCACAAAGCTCAGAGCTCACAGCTCCTGGGCCCGAGCCCACACTCACTCTCTTCTCCCTTCGTAGGCAATGGGGTAGGCCCGCACAGCACCCCCTCTTCTGCTGCGGAGGAGGCGCGCACCTGCAGCAGCTGGTCCCCTGGAGAGCCGCCCGAGGGCAAGGCAGCAGGAGGCTCACGGGCAGCGCTGACAGCTTCAAGGAGGACAGATTCTTCTCGCTAACTATCAGTTGGGGTTCTCCTCCTTCACAGACATCAAATCCCAAAGGAGTTAGAGGCTTAACTGTATGTTGGACGAGGGCTCACGCACAGCCAACTGCCAGACACACAAAAGGAGTCACACAGACCTGGAGCCACGCCTCAGAGTCAGAGAGCTTTGTTCAGAGGCAGTCTTCCCAAACTGTAATGTTAAACACACATGACACTCCCTACTGGCCCCAACTGCACATGAATATGTGGAAGAAGGAAGACCGCAGTGTGTCACGGACTGTACACACAGTGCCATGACCAAGGGGGATCGGTCATGATCAGGGTGACTGATCTCCACAGGCAGGCAGGCAGCAGCGGAGCTGTGAACGCCATTCTGTCACCTCAGCACTTAGAGCATTCCCTCTGTCTCAAAAAATATTCATCATAAAAATAAAAAGGCTCGCCGAAACTGGTTTGGCTCAATGATAGAGCATCGGCTTGGGGCTGAAAGGTCCCGGGTTCAATTCCGGTCAAGGGCATATCCCCAGTAGGGGGTGTGCAAGAGGCAGCTGGTCGATGCTTCTCTCTCATTGACGTTCCTAGCTCTCTATCCCTCTCCCTTCCTCTCTGTAAAATATCAATAAAATATATTTAAAAAATTAATAAAAAGGCTCGTTTTTAGCCAGCCTGAGAGGACGATAACATGTGACTCCTTCCTTCCTTCTCTTTTTCACTGTGTAACCATGTCAGGGCTGCAACCTGCGGGCAGAGGCTGGGCAATGGCTCAAGGCCACGCCCAGCTCTGCGCTGGGGCATGAGACCGGGGATGCCTGCCACCCACCCCAGCCCATGCACCTCCTTTATTAGTGAACATGTGGTGTCTGCCTGGCCTCGTGGGCCAAGCTCCCAAACCACTCGCGGCGTCCTGCACGTGCAGCCAGGCCACCGGAAGAGCCAGGCCCCGGGGCCCGGCCCAGAGAGCGGTCTGAACCGGGGAGAGCGGTCTGAACGTGCGCCTCGGGGAGGTCTAGGATGGGGAAACCTGTGTTGCTGCATCATCTACCTTTCATGGATTACTCTCCTTTAAAAAAAAATTTTTATATATGTGTGTGTGTGTGTAGCTATATATTAATTGATTTCAGAGAGGAAGGAAGAGGGAGATATAGAAACATCAATGATGAGAGAGGATCTTTTATTTTAATTTTTAAAAGTATTTTTAATTGATTTCAAAAAGGAAAAGGGAGAGTTAGAAACATCAATGACAACAGGGAATCATTGCTAAAATCGGTTTGGCTCAGTGGATAGAGCGTCAGCCTGCGGACTGAAAGGTCCTGGGTTCGATTCCAATCAAGGGCATGTACGTTGGTTATGGGCACATCCCCAGTAGGGGGGTGTGCAGGAGGCAGCTGATTGATGTTTCTCTCTCACCAATGTTTCTAGCTCTCTATCCCTCTCTCTTCCTCTCTATAAGAAAATCAATAAAATATATTTTTTTTAAATAAAAATAAAATTTAAAAAAAGAGGTAATCATTTACTGGCTGCCTCCTGCACGCCCCCTACTGGGGACCCAGGCGCAACCTGGGCCTGTGCCCTTGACCAGAATGGAACCTGGCACCTTTCAGTCCATAGGCTTATGGCCTATCCATTGAGCCAAACCAGCTAAGGCCTGCCCCATTTTCTCCTGAACTCTTTCCTTGTGTCTTAACTTTCCTCCTCTCTTTTTACCCTTTCATCTCCATTCTAAGTTCTTTTTCCTTCTTTTCATGACCTTAAGGGCCAGAATATGCCTTTTCATGACCTTAGACAAGGATGCACAGCAGGATCTAGGGAACCTAACTCACCAATAGCATCAGTTACTGTCCTCAACAGCTGACAAAACACACACTATCCAAGAAATTACTTACTACCTACTCTGGGTGCAATACCGACAGGAAGGAGGGGGCGAAATGCGCAAAGCGGTCCCGGCCCTCCAGGAGGCAACAATCTGGGTGGAGAGGCCACGCAAACATCTGTGTAAAGGCAAACACAAGCCGTCAGGAGATGCAGTGTGCACCCCATACAAGGGCTGTACCGGCTGGGCACAGACCAGCGGAGCGCCCACCACCGTTTCTGGCTCCTTAGCCAGGCTCGCCCAGAGCAAGCACACGCTGGCCTCTGAAGGAGCCCCGAGGGCACCAAAGGGCAGGAGAGCTTTCTAGAGAGAAAGGCTTTTCAGAGGGCTGGCCCGGCCAGCCTAACAAGGGAGAATGTAAAACGATGAATTTCACGTTACATATATTTTAACACACACACACACACACACACACACACACTCTCTCTCTCTCTCACGGAAAGGGAGGTGCCTGGCCCCTCTGCTGTCTCCAGTAGGGCTTGCAATCAGAATTCCTATGCCCAGCTGGAAAGACTGATGAACTCAATGAGGTGACACTGGACCACTCCGTCACACACCTGACAATTCCCTTTCTCATTTCAAATACCCGACAATAAGATTAAAGCAAAAGCAGCTGGCTGAGCAGCAGGGAGAGGTGTGCCGGTGAGGAAGAAAGGAACCGGCCCTCCTTTCTCCCAGGGCAATGCCTCTAGAAGCAGAGTGCCAGCAGCTGGGGTGGAGCTACGGGCAGAAACCCCAAAGCCAGGGCTTCCCGAGGCTTCCGCTGAGCAGAGAAAGGTGGGGATCACTTTAGGGATGAGTCACACAAAAGGCCTAGCATTCCGCTTCTAGAAGTGGCTCATAAACCCCTGAGGATCTAAAGCCAAGGTTATTAGGCTTTGCTGACCACCTGGGGGGGAAATCCCTAAACTGGAAAACTATTACAAAAACCAAACACAGCACACCTCAGTTAATTCCATTTACCAATACTAACAACAAGATTATTGGGCTGAAACCAAGCCAATGTCCCTTTGACTTCAACCTCGAGCAGACAACCAAGTCCATAGAATAGCTCCCAAAAGCAAGCCAGTGAAACAGTAAAAGGAGAAGAACGTCCCCATTTTCACATAACGGGCAACACATTAAGGGAAAGAAACAGCTGGGAGACTGTCTAAAGGACCGTAAAAGTAGTGCACAGTGTTCTATGTGAGCATCCTACATGCGAGTGTAACATTACATACGACAACATGTGCACAGTGAGGACAGAACCGGCTGAGGGCCGAAACCGGTTTGGCTCAATGGATAGAGCATCGGCTTGGGGACTGAAGGGTCCCGGGTTCGATTCCGGTCAAGGGCATGTACCTTGGTTGCGGGCATATTCCCAGTAGGGGGTGTGCAAGAGGCAGCTGATCGATGACTCTCTCTCATCGACGTTCCTAGCTCTCTATCTCTCTCCCTTCCTCTCTGTACAAAATCAATAAAATATATTAAAAAAAAAAAAAAAAAACAACACAAAAAACCGGCTGAGGGGCAAAATGCTGAAAAGTATGCCCCCGCCGGGAGGTTCAGTGGTTGGAGCATCACCCCAGACACCAGGAGGCTGCGTGTTCATCCCAGACATATACCTAGGTTTGGGGCTCCATCCCTAGGCAGGGCACATACGGGCACGTATGGGAGGTAACCGATTGATGTTTCTCTGTCTCCCTTCCTTCCTTCCTTCCTCTCTAAAGCCAATAAAAATTTAAAGAAAGAGAAAAGTATGCTAGTTAAGTGTTAAAAATAAGATTCTTACTGGAATAACCAACTTTATTAATTCCTTAAAATTTCCGTATTTACAACCCCCTCAAATCAGTGAAATACAAGTTATGAGAACTTCCTTGATTCTTAAAGTTACGGCTGTAAGAGTTCTTCCAACAATCACCAGGATGTGAAACAAATGAGATCGTGAGCCCAGAGGCACTGATTATTTAGGGAAACATTATCAGTGGCTCACACGTGTTGTGCAGAAGGTGGTGATTCTGGTGCTTATCAGATTTACCCAGTAAAGTTTCGTAAGACTCATTTTATTAAACAGTGTTCATCCGTGCAATTCTGCTTCTACATATTTCTGGTCTGTCTTTCTTGAACCCACCCACCGCTCCTTGGTAATGCTTAGCAGTCTGAGAACCTGAGGGTCTTAGATATGCACAGACCGGAAAACAAAGTGAATGCATCAAATGTGTCCAAATGATGCAACATATACTCAAACGTGGCTTCAAGCTACAGAGCCATCCATCGGCCTGCAGGAAAAGTGAGTTAACGGCAGCTCATGTTTAGCTTTAACTGGAGAAGGGCAGGGTCACACGTGCAACTGACAGCACTGCTCACCTTGAGGACAGAGGCCAGGCTGGCCATGTGCTCGTTGAGGGCGCCCTCGGACTCCTTGTAGGTCAAGCAGGTGAACTGGTACTCCTCAGGGTCGAAGGCGTCGGCCCCCTGCTGCTCCACGTCGCTGGCGACGCCCACGTAATAGTCCTCTATGTCCCCGGGGTCCTCGTCCTCCTCCTCCTCCTCACAGTTGGGGTCATAGTCCTCTTCGTTGCTGTCAGACCCCTGGCTATTCATGTCCACCGACATCTTAGCATCCAGCCACGATGCAAACCCGGAAAGCAGGGTTTTTCCCTCCCCCCCAACTTTACCACGTTCTCAAATGCATTAGTGTTTTTGTCTTCTAAGGAAGAAAAAGAAAAAAAGTGTGTTACTTACTTCACTGTGAGAAATTGTAACAGAAGTCATTCAAGAACCAAAATGGTATAACTCTGACTCTACCCCTCTATAACCTATCCCCGAGGGTTAGAGACATCGATGAGAGAGAAACATCAATCAACTGCCTCCTGCACACCCCCCACTGGAGATGTGCCCGCAACCAAGGTACATGCCCTTGACCAGAATTGAACCCGGGACCTTTCAGACCGCAGGCTGACGCTCTATCCACTGAGCCAAACCGGTTTTGGCTAGAGCCATGTTTTTTGTTTGTTTGTTTGTTTTTTTAATATATTTTATTATTTTATACAGAGAGGAAGGGAGAGAGATAGAGAGCTAGAAACATTGATGAGAGAGTCATCGACCAGTAGAGCCATGTTTTAATGATAAAATAAATTTTAAAAAACCAATGAATCTAAGTTTGATATTAACTATAAATGCCCCATTTTAAAAAATCACAAGAGGACAATAAATAGGATACTTGCAATTTCACTTTTAACAAACTGGTTTATATGGCAGAACCACCAATTCACAACTGAACCCACTAACTATGGTATTTTCCCTTTAGAAGAAAAGTTAATTTCTAAATTAAAAATACCTGTAGTCCTCGAAGATTTTTCAGGAAGATTACCCAAATATTCTGTCATATAATTTCCATCTGAAATGAAAAGAAAATTCTATTTATATATTTTTAAAATGATACCCTAGTTTTGCAAATTTATTTTTAAAAAGCAAAGATTTTAGCACTGGCTGGTTTGGCTCAGTGGATAGAGCACTGGCCTATAGACTGAAGGGTCCTGGGTTCTATTCCAGTCAGGACATGCAGGAGGCAGTTGATCAATGATTCTCTCTCGTCATTGATGTTTCTATCTCCTTTCCTCTCTGAAATCAACAAAAATATTTTTAAAAATTAAAAATAAAGACATTTAAAAGAATAAGCAACAAGAGACCAAAGTACCTATGAAATTACAACTGACCCTTGAATATGAGTCTGAACTGCCCAGGTCCACTTATATGGAGTTTTTCAATAAATACTGTAAATATGTTTTCTCTTATAATTTTCTCTAGCTTACTTTATTATAGTAATATATATACACACACACACACACACACACACACACACACACACATGTAAAAGCATATATATGCTAAGTGTCCATCTGACTGGTTGCTATAATGTGCGCTGACCACCATGGAGCAAATGCTCAATGCAGGAGCTGCCATGATACGCACTGGCCATTTACAAAGAAACAGCACTGTAGACAAAGCAATACTCAGCTTCCCCCAAGTGGGGCACAGACCCCACCACCACCCCAAAGCGACACCCCACCGAATCGCACACAGCCAACGCTGCCAAGACCCCATGGCACAAAATGAGGCCCGTAGTCCAGCCCAGCTTGCAAATGGTCGCTGTGGGCACCAGGTAATGACATCACGTAGCAACACCCAGCTTCCTCTATCTAGCGACTAGCCTCCTTGGAGTTTCTTCAGCCCAGGAACACAACTTGCTTTATAGCCAGGTGGAAACATTTTACACTTTAACCAAATGTCTGTGAAGTGTTTTCCCGTGCCTCATCTCATTTGATCCTCACGGAAGTCCTGGAGAAAGTAGATATTGAGACTCAGTAGAATCCTATTTTCATTTCATTAGCCGAAAAATGACTTAGAAAGTTTAGAAACTTGACCCGACTAAAAAGAAGAAACGGTGGACGCTGAAAATGACCGTGTGGGGAGTGGACCTAAGAAGTCAGTCAGACAACCTTAGTGCTGCTCAGCCTGGCTTTGGCTGAGCGCAGTGACCACCAATGGGCAGCTCCTGTGTTGAGCGTCTACTCCATGGTGGTCAGTGTGCATCATAGAGACAGGTCGTTCCACTCTTTGGTCGATTTGCATATTAGCCTTTTATTATATAGGAGGATGTTATACAGGATGTCTATTTCTTAATCCTTTAGGATTTCTCGGAAAACCAGAGCTTACAACTTTCAAACATAGACAGGCAAATATAAATTAAGTGAAAACCAAAGTCCAAACTACAGTGGATGATTATTTTCAAAATAGTAGAGGAACGATTGACTTTTAAAAACATTTTTTTCTTTACTTGTATTTTTACGTAAGACTAGAGGCCAAGCATGCACCAAAGGATGCGTAAGTAGCTCGCTTCCACTTGCCTGAGCTGGCTGCCCCGCCCACTGCGGCTCATAGCTCCCAGCTGCTCGTGGTTCTCTGCCACTAGTAACACACACACACACACACACACACACACACACACACCCTGCCGGGAGCCACTGCTCCTTTGGTCAGGAGGGAGTCACAGCCACAGACCGTTTATGTAAGAGACACTGCTCACCAGACAAACCACCTAGGAATATTGCCCCTCTCTACAAAATATCACTACCAATAACAACTCTCATGCAATGAGAGCCAATTACAAGTCAGATGTATTCTCAGTAAAGCTTCACAACCCTAAAAAGTGGCTTTCATCTCCTTACCAATGAGGCCTAGCATGACTCATAACTCCCATTCTTTTTTAAAATATATTTTCATTGGCCGAAACGAGTTTGGCTCAGTGGATAGAGCGTCAGCCTGCGGACTGAAAGGTCCCAGGTTCGATTCCGATCAAGGGCATGTACTCTGGTTGTGGGCATATCCCAAGTAGGGGGTGTGCAAGAGGCAGCTGATCGATGTTTCTCTCTCATCGATGTTTCTAACTCTCTATCCCTCTCTCTTCCTCTCTGTAAAAAATCAATGAAATATATTTATAATATATATATATTTTTCCATTTTTTTCAGAGAGGAAGGGAGAGGGATAGAAAGAGAACCGTGGATCAGCTGCCTCCTACACGCCCCCCACTGGGGCCCACAACCGGGGCATGTGTCCTGACTGGGAATCCAACCGGGACCTCCTGGCTCATAGGTCAATGCTCAGCCACTAGCCACACTGGGCAGGCTCCCATCCCTCTTACAGAATTAGCTCCAGAATCACAACACAAAAGCATGCTTTTCCCTCCTCTGGAATTCCTTCCCAGGATCTGGGCTCAGAGGTGCGGCAGGCTTTGGCGGTGTCCCCTGTGCACCCCGACCAGCGGATCTAAGCTGAGACCCTTTCCACGCAGGGTAGGCCCCTCCAGCCAGCTGAGCCACCGGGCCAGGGCAGTTTTTATCTTTCCGAAGTTAAATATCCCTGTTCTACTTGAAAGAGTGCTGACAACCCTCACAGGGCCAGTATGTCACTGCCTCGGGAACAGAATGGATGACAACTTCCATTTCCTCGGATGTTAAGTATTATCCCGACATCCTAGACAGGAAAGTAGTAAAACACGTTCTTTTCCCCAGAGCCAAAGACCTGGCCACCCACCCTGGGCTAAAGGGTCCGGAAGTCCACAGGAACAGAGTCTGCTTTGGCGGGGTGGGAGCGGAGTGGGTCCGACGGTATTTTCTCCAGACACAGCAGAGCCCGGAGCGGCCACTCACCAAGCTCGCATGGCCGAGGGCAGCGACTGGGCACAGAAATGTGAACCGACAACTCAGTTCCAAAACTCCGCTCTGTGTCCCCTGCGGTCACACACGGCAGCTGCTTAGCCACGCAGGGCTGCTTAATTTTAACGTAAAAAAATAAATAAGTAAATTTTAAAACTTGGTTTTTCGGTCGCCCCGGCCACAGGACAAACGCTCAGTGGCCGCACGTGGCTGGCGGCTGCCCACGGAGCGGCCAGGGACAGACGCCGCGGGTCCTGCGGGCTGAGTGACCGTCGGCCTGAGGGGCCGGCACCGACCGCGGGCCGCCCGTCCGTCCGGCGGGCACGGCGGCCACACGGCCCGTCCCAGGCGCCGGGAGAGCCGCGAGGACACGGCCCGCGCGCCGGGGCCCTTCCCGGCCGGGCGGACGTTAGGAGCGCGGAGCCCGGAGGCGGCGCGGCTCCGGCGCCCGTTGGGGAGGCCCCGGCGCCGGGCGCTCAGAGGCGCTGGCCTCCGGCCTCCCCGCGAGCGGCGGCGCCTCGCCGGGGCGAGACGGCCGCCCGCCGCCCCCCGCGCACGGCGGCGGGAGCGGAGCCCCTGCACCGGCGGCCGGGCGCGGGGGCCTCGCGGGCGGCGAAGGCGGAGCCCCGCCCGCCCGGCCGCCGGGTAAACAAGGCCGCCGCTCCCCTCACTTACCGGAGCCGCGGCCCCGCGGCCGCTGAGCCCGGGCGGGCCGGGCCGGGTCGAGCCGGGCCACAGGGAGCTGAGCCGGGCGCGGCGGCGGCGGAGGCGGCGGGCCGACGCCGGTCTAGGCCCGCGCTGCTTCCCCCGGCGGAGCGGTCCCCGCAACTCCGGAAGTGCCCGGGCGCTGGCGTCACTTCCGGCTCGGGGTCGGCCCGCGGTCGCCGGGGTCGCAGCCGGCGCCGGGGAGCGTGACCCTCCGGCCGGCTCTCCGCGTGGCGTCGCCGGGCCCCAGAGGCGGCCGCGGGCCCGCCGGCTCCGAGGCCGCGGGGAGCCGGGAGCGGGGAGCGGGGAGCGGGGAGCGGGTTCGGCTCCCGGCAGCGTGTCCGGCCCGGCTTCCGGCCGCCCGCCGGGGCCTTCCCCAGCGCTGGCCGGACGGACGCCTCTCTCCGCCGTTTGCCCGCGGGCGTTGGCTGCGGGGAGGCCGGGATCCAGGACTGTTATTCCTCGCGGGGCCGGCGGGTCGGCGTACCGGGCCGCCGGGGCCTCCGCCGACGCCGTCGTTTGGTGGCCCCCGAGCCGCAGAGCTTCTGCGCGCCCCGATTCGCGATCCAGTTATTTCCTTTCCCATTCGCCTTAGGAAACAGAATTTTTTTGTTTGTTGTTTTGGGGTTTTTTTAATAGCAAAGATGGAGATTTATTGAAGAACAAGTACAGACTCCCATGTGGGGAGGGGGAAAGGGTCCCCCAAAACTGAAGGCTAGCTGCCTGGCTGCACCCCCGCCCCCCAACAATGTAGCAAGTGCCAATTGGGACTTGCACCTTCTAGGGCCTGCGGTCGGCCGTTATGGGGGGACCTCGGAGGCTGCGCTCGCGGAAGCCAGAGATGCCTGGGCTGGGCAGGTCCCTGGAGAACCCTAACCATTTCCGTCCAGACGCGAGTTGTACACGTCCTGCTATTTGAGATATCAATGTGTGATGGGCTCTCTCATTTAGTTCCTGTTTCTTGTAGGTACTCATGTATATTTCTTACACATGAGCTTCAACTTTCATTTTAACTCAAAGCATGGACCGAAATCAGATGCAAATACTTCCTGGAAAACTCCAAATTTAATTGGAGTAATTAATGGTAGCGAATATGCTGATTGTAGGATTTTCTGATGGACTCCTCACTTGTATATTAGCAGCATAAAAGTCTAGAATCCAGTGTACTGACTAATTTGTTTTGAGAAAACAGCCCTTTATTTGTTAGTTTAATAATAGATATTGTACAAAGGCATTTATTGACAAGAAAAGGTATTTTTTTTTAAATATTGATTTCAGAGAGGAAGAGAGAGAGAAAGAGAAACATCAATGATGAGAGGGAATCAGCTGCCTCCTGCACGCCTTCTACTGGGCATGGAGCCTGTAACTGGGCATGTGCCCTGACCAGGAATTGAACTGGCAACTCTTTGTCCCATGGGATGATGCTCAACCAACTGAACCACACTGGCCAGGGCTCAGGGACCTTGTCTTAGCTATAATCTTTCTCCCTTCCTGATGTTTCTATCAGCCTCAGTCCCATCTTTAAAAACAAAACAAACAAACAAAAAAATACCCTAAAGTCTAAAGTCTCCTTTAATTCTTTGTTCCTTTCCCTTCCCTACCAAGCTCCTTGACCCAATAACTGACTCTCAGTGCCTCTGCCTTCAGCATCAGATCCATCATGTGTCAACACTCCTGGCAAGCTTCTTCTGAGTGTCACCAATGGCTGCTAGTTAACCCTAATGAGCACTTAAAACTCACTCGTTTGACCCAGAATTTGATCATTTCATCTCTTGGACTCAAAGGCACCATTTTATCTTCATTTTTCTCCAAAATTCTAGTAGCAGTCTCTGTTCTAGTATCCTCTCCTGCTGGCCCCTCCCCCAGGGGTTGCATATATCTCACACTGAAGCCTTCCTGGCTCCTGGCTCTGCCCTTCACCTCTCCTGGTCCGCAGGCTCCGCATGTGACATCAGCCAGGTGTACCCTGGGCACTGCAATCACAGTGTGTCTGTAACCCGGAATCACTGCAGGGTTCCTGGTAATGCCTCTGGGTTCTGGCTCCTTTCCCATCTTCCAGAACCTCTGCCTCAGTTCCTGCCTTTACCGCCTCTAGCCTAGACTGCTGCGTTTTCTCTCAACTGGTTTCCCTGCTTCCAGTTCCTCCCCAAACAGATTTATCCATCCAAAATGGATTTTCTAGAACAAATTGGATCACATCACTACTGGTGCTTAAAAGCTCTACGTGATGAGACCTCCGGAAGGGGACTTACCAGGTCACCTTGACATTGAGGTACCTGCTATAGAATAGGGGTATAACTACCGTCCACAGCTTTTTTTATTTAAAAAATTTCACACATACAGAAAAGAGTAATATGATGAATACCTGGATTCTGTGCACCTAAAGTCAATAAGGCAAAACATTAGCATAATCCTTAACTTCTCTCTCACATACCTTTTAGTCTCTTCATTAACAATTCCTTTAAGTTCTTTCAGAATATACCCAGTATCCACATACTCCTCCCCGCTTCCTCTGCTATGCCCCCTGATCCAAGCCATTATAGAAATGAGCCTTCTCAAAACTTTCTGCTTTCTCCTGGCTCCCTCACCCTCACCCAGCACTCAGAGGGCTCCTGTTAACTCACCAGTCAGGCTGTCCCTCCCTTGCTCGAAGCACCGGAATGGTTGCCATCCCCTTCAGAAGAGAAACTGATGTCCTCACAGAGACCAAGTCAGCTTTGTGTGCTACCCTCACCGCTACGTCTGGGTCAGCTGCTGTCTCATGCTCTCCCTCACTGCTCCAGCCCTCAAGGCTTCCCTGCAGTTCCTGACAGGACAGGACAGACCATCTCAAGGTGTTTTTTGTTTGTTTGTTTTTTAATATATTTTATTGATTTTTACAGAGAGGAAGGGAGCGGAATAGAATGAGAAATATTGATCAGCTGCCTTCTGCACACCACCTACTGGGGATGTGCCCCCAACCAAGGTACATGCTCTTGACCAGAATTGAACCTGGGACCCTTCAGTCCGTAGGCCGATGTGCTATTCACTGAACAACACCAGTCAGGGCAGATCTCAGGGCTTTTGCATGTATGGCAGGTCCCTCAACCTGCACCCCCTTTGTCCGGACCGGACGCACTCCCTCGCCTTCCCAGGTCTTGAATCCAGCCACCTTCTCGGTGAAACCCTTCCTTACGCCCCTCATCCACGTTGTAATTACTCTGCCCTCCCCCCACCTCTAACCCTCTCTCCAGGCTTCGGCTTCTCCATCGCACAGCAGTCACACAAGTGATTCACTATTTTTTCACTTATTTATCTTTGTCACGCCCTCTAAGCTCCACACACACAGGGACTCCCCGTGGTGCCGGGCACGCCGCCCAGCGGACCCGGTGCCCGCGGGGTGGAAGCCCGGGAGCCCAGCAAAGGCCCGGAAGACCCCGAACTCGGTCCATCGGCCCGCCCCGTACACCGCCCGGCGCCACCCCAACGCCCGCAGGCCACGCCCACGTAGGCGGGGCCTCTCCCGGAAGCGGCGCGGCGGAAGCAGGCCGCGCGGCGTCGGCCCGCCCCCGGGCGGCCCCGGCGCCGGCCCCGCCCCCCCAAAGTGGGTGAAAGGGCGGCGGCGGCGGCGGCGGCGGCAGGGAACGTCCTGACAGGCAGCCGGACCATGACGGACCAGGCCAAGGCCGTCAGCCCGCTCAAGAACCTGCTGGCCGGCGGCTTCGGCGGCATGTGCCTGGTGTTCGTGGGGCACCCGCTGGACACGGTCAAGGTGCGAGGGGCGGGGTGCGGCGGGGCGCGCGGGAGGGCCGGCGGGGCGCGGGGGCCGGGGCCGCGGGCGGGGAGAAGCCGGGGCTCCGGGGAGAAGCCGGGGCTCCGGGGAGAAGCCGGGGGCTCCGGGGCGCCCCTCGAAGGGCTGCGGACGCGGTTCCTCGGGCGCCTCCGGCCGCGCCGTGCGCGGGCTCCCCGGGCGGGCCGGGCCGAGGCGCTCGGTCCCGCAGCCTCGCTGACCTTGGCCTCCGCTCCGGCTGCGGAGGGCGCCGCGCCTCCCGCTCCGATTCCAGCAAACGCGGCCGCCGCCCCGCGAGCGCCCAGGCCGAGGCAGCCCTCGCGGCTGCGGGAGCGCCGACCCGGCAGCCGGAGGTCGCGTGGGGCTCGGGTCCAGCCCAGGCCCGGCTTGTGGACTCACCCCGGGGGCGGGGCGGGGCGGGCGGGGGGCCCGTGCGGGACGCAGCCGGTGCCTGGTGCTCTCATCACGGATGTTTCTCTCCCCCCCTCTCAGAAACCAATACACATACGCTTAAGCCCCGGCCGGTGTGGCCCAGTGGATAGAGCGTCGGCCTGCGGACTGAAGGGTCCCAGCCAGGGGCACAGGCCCGGGTTGTGGGCACATCCCTAGTGGGGGGCGTGCAGGAGGCGGCCGATTAATGATTCTTTAATCATTGATGTCTCTCTCTCTCTCCCCCTCTCCCTTCCTCTATGAAATAAATAAAAATATAATATATATATATTTAAAATAAACCAATAAAAATATACTTTAAAAAAATAAAAAACAGAGGGCCCGGTCATTCTAGGGATGGCTTTGGACACATGGCTCTGAGGCAGAGGGCCCATTACCACCTCCTTCCACCTTTCCCTTTGGGGTTGGGGGGCCGGCTGTGGCCAGCTTCAGCCTGTCACCCCATGTTGGCCCCTGGGGAAGCGATTATGTCCCCAGTGGCTGAGCCCCTCTCCCCCAGGGAAGCCAGCAGAGGTCACGCGCTGGGACTTAGCATTCCCAGTTTCATCCTAGTCCCTCGCCTTCTTTCCGGCGCGCACTTGGAGGCAGTTGACAGCTGGTGGCCAGGACGCCCTTGTGGGGGCAGCTGCGTCTCAGAGCAGGACGCCGGTGCGGGGGTTTAGAATTCAGCTCCGGCATCTCACAGGGAGATGGCTCTGGGGCACGTCCTGTTGGCAGGTTTGACAGCCGGCTCTTCGCTGCCTTTGACCCGGGAGAGCTGGAGTCATTCTGTGGCAAGACCCGGGTTACAGCAACCTGTCGGCGCGGGCACGTGAGCCAGGGCATGAAAGCCAATGTTTTCTCGCCCCCGACCAGGGAGGCGCCGGTGGTTGGAGCATCCAGGCCCGTGCACCAGAGGGTTGTGTGTTCAATTCCTGGTCAGGGCACAAGGCCCAGGTTGCAGGGGGAGCCCGTTCAGGAGGCAGCCAATTGGTGCTTCTCTCATCGGGGAAAAAGTTGTTTGGCCCCTCTTCCTACTTTAAAAAAAAAAAAAAAAAAAAAAAAAAAGTACAGGTATACAGCAACATAATCCAACATCTGTGTACCCTACAAAGCATCACCCCAAAAGTCTAATTACTACCCATCACCACGCAGGTAACTCCCTTTAGCCACTGCACCAACTGCCCCTTCCTCTGGTAACCACCGATCTGTTCTCTGTGTCTATGAGCTCCTTTTGTTTGTTTGTTTGTTTTGGTTTTGGTTTTGGTTTTTTAGATTCACATATAAGTGAATGTTTCTTGCCACATCCCGGGCATGTGCCCTTGACTGGAGTCAAACCCGGGACCTTTCAGTCTACAGGCCGATGCTCTATCCACTGAGCCAAAGCAGCTGGGGCTTCTATTATGTATTTTTTACATCTTATTTATCCATTCATCCGCCGATGTGCACTTAGGTCCCACGGTATCAGTGCCACGACATTCTCTTTGATAGAAGTGAGTCACTGAATCTGCCCACAGTCAAGGGGAGGGGGAATTAGGATTTACCTTTTGAAGGGGAAGAGCATCCAAGAATTCGTGGACCTAATTGGAAACCACTAAGGTAAGGATGGGTGAGGACCTGGCCTGGGAGAAGCCTCAGACAGAGAGGGGAAAATACAATAGGGCCAAGACCGGTTTGGCTCAATGGATAGAGCGTCGGCTTGGGGACTGAAGGGTCCCGGGTTCGATTCCAGTCAAGGGCATGTACCTTGGTTGCGGGCATATCCCCAGTAGGGGGTGTGCAAGAGGCAGCTGATCGATGACTCTCTCTCATCGATGTTTCTAACTCTCTATTTCTCTCCCTTCCTCTCTGTACAAAATCAATAAAATATATTAAAAAAAAAAAAAAAATACAATAGGATTCTGGAAGCATCTTGAAGGACCACTCCAACAGACTTGTACTCACGTGATAAGAGCAAGAAGAGCAACAGGAAGCCCTAGCCAGTGTGGCTCGGTGAACAGAGCCTTGGCCTGTGGTCTGAAGGGTCCTGGGTTCAATTTCGGTTAAGGGCACAGGCCTGGGTTGCGGGCTTGCTCCCTGGTGGGGGGCGTGCAGGAGGCAGCCAATCAATGATTCTCTCACATCATTGATGTTTCTGTCTCTCTCCATCTCCCTTCCTTTCTGAAATCAATAAAAAATATATATATATATATATATATTTTTTTTTTTTAAAAAGGAGGATGAGGACCAAGAAAAATGAGGTTAAATCCACCTCCCTCCAAAATGCCCTTGTTGAGCACCTTATGCAACAACTGACATGCCACTCCATGTGGTGGGTAGGGCTTAGTTTTGCATCAGCTAGTTCCTGGCATGTCACTTGACATGACTAAATCCAGTCTTATCTAAAAGCTGGGAGTACCTATCCCATTGGGTCATTGTGGGATACATTAGGTAAGAAATAAATGGTGCAAGTAAGTGGGTAGAGAACTCAGAGGAACTGTCCCTCTCTCTAAAAGCACGCGACTACTGACTGGTCAGTTCAGGGTTTGAATAAACTGGAGAAAAGACAAGTCTGAATCCAATAGGGGGAACGAGGCAGTTCTGAATCTGGGAAATGACTGTATTTGAACTTCTGATTTCAGGTCCGACTGCAGACGCAGCCCCCGAGTTCGCCTGGGCAGCCTCCCATGTATTCTGGGACCTTTGACTGCTTCCAGAAGACTCTTATGAGAGAGGTATTGTATGTTGGTGCTGGGCAGCCCTACTCGGAGTCACACATTCACAGGGTGGGTTTGTGACTCCTCCGGGTAGGTTTACTCTGTGTCCTTCTGCTGAAGGCCTCGCCCACAGCGGGGCCCTCTCACATGCCCTCCTATTGGCATCGCTCTGGAGGCTTTGCTAGCTCCGGTTCCAGTTTTATATGGATGACTGAAGCATAATTGGAAGGCAGAATTTGGAGCATAGGAAATTAACGAGGAGTAATTGGAGTGGGAGAAGTGGTGCTGTGCCAGCACTGCCAGGGGTGAACCTGAAGGGGGCAGTAAAGGACTGAAGAAGACAGGCAGAATAAAGTTGGGGCTAGGTGGGACGCTGCCCTCTGATTAGACAGCACAATGGCCTGCAAGCCAAGTCTTTATAGCCAGATCCCAGGAGGCACAGTAAGGGTGTGGTCAAGATGTTTACAATGTTCTTACGGTTTCGAATCTACTGCACCAGTTAGATGCACCTGAACTCTATCCAGCCCACATCACTCAGCCTCCTGAGACCACAGGTTTGGACCATAAGGTCAAGCTTACAACCACAGCCTTTGGCTATAATTGTGCTGAGACTTGCCCGTGGCTTTGCCAGAGAGGATCCTGCCCTCTCATTAGTCTGAGGCTTTTACCTGTCCAGACGCTGTAGCCGCCTCCACAGAAAATACAAACCTGGGTCAGTCAGTTTGATGGGGATCGGTGGCAGAAGGTTAGGTAAAGTCTGGAGGAAAAGTCAGGCAGACTGAGGAACAGTGAGGGAGGCCAGTGTCTTCAAACCCCAGACAAGTACACTAAATTGATTTGGGGTTATTGGATTACATGATAATTTCCCAGGTACTGCTCCGAGTGAAAACATGGAATTTTTAAAAAAGCTTTATTTATTTATTTATTTATTTATTTATTTTAAATATTTTACTTTTGCTCTAGCCAGTTTAGCTCAGTGGATAGAGCATCCGCCTGTGGACTGAAGGGTCCTGAGTTCGATTCCGGACATGGACACATGCCCGGCTTGTTGGCTCAATTCCCAGGGTGGGGTGTGCAGGAGGCAGCCGATCAATGATTCTCTCTCATCATGGATGTTTCTCTCTTCCATTCCCTTCCTCTCTGATATAAAATATATATATATATATATTTTTTAATTTCACTTTTTAAAATCTTTATTGAGAGTATTTTAAAAATTTTAATCATTAGTGACATACTCAGTTCATTAGCACACATTTAAAAAGAACTTGTTGAAAACTTCTTTTGCTTCCTAAAATATAAATAACTCTCATGCATAAGTGCCAATGAAACACGTAGAGACGGAGAGGCCGTGTCACCCAGGTAAAGGGGATTCTGTTGGTGAGGGGGGACTCGGCCTGGGAAGAACGGTTCCCAGGGCCCCTGCGGGGAGGCCAGCAGCAGCGTTACTGAGCAGCTGTGGAGTGTGTGTGTGTGTGTGGGGGGGGCGGCAATGTGCTGGCTGCCGGGGGCCTGGTGAGAAAGGCTGTGTAAACCCATCCCCTGCAGAGTTGACTGGACTTCCTGACTCCATGTTGGCGGTGTCCCGGTTTTCGTTGTACCAGAGCTGCCAGCGGGAGAGAGGTCTCGGTGGTGCTGCTGCGTGCACCGGTGTGGGGAGCTTGGTGGGAGGAAGGCTGGTCTGTCCGGGGCCTGGGCCCGGGCCCTGAGGACCTGAGCACCAGCCCGGCCAGGTGGAGAGCCGGGGGAGGGACGTGGAAGGACTTTGTCCCCTGCTGCCCGTAGCTCCTCCTCCCATTCACCCTTCCTGTTTCCTGCCTCTCAGTCAGCTTCCAGCCTGGGGTGGCCTTTGACCTTTGCAGGATCCCCGTGGGCCCCGTGGCTCTGGAGAGTAGGTGGGCTGTGGGCCCCGCGGCAGCCCCTCTGTTAGCTGCCCGTCTCCACAGGGAGCCACTTTTACGTTCTTCTCTTTGCATTTGTCCCAAAGATTGTTTGGTATTAAAGCGATACAAGCACTTAGTTTGTTTCTGAAAGGCTTATCACACAGCGACAACGAGACCGCCCCCCACCTCAACCCCCTTCTCCAGGGGCAGCTAGCTGTGCATGCTGTCCTGCGGTGCCACTTAATACACCCCTACTGCCATCCTCACGCTCCTTACGTGTCTTATCTCCCGTGTGGGAGACGATTTTTCCTCTTACATTACGATCCCCTCCTGCCCGGCCGTATAAACCTGCTCTACTTTGTGGTTTAACCCCTGTACTGTTTCACTTTATGATTGCAATGATAGATCCATACATGCTTCTTTCCTGTTGAGTAATTCACTTATTGCGCAGCTCTTTGTTTTTCTTGAGGTTGGTTGATCACTGAGTCCGTTTTCAGTTGCTCGTGTCTCTCTCTATGGCTGTCCCTGCCGTCCGCACCCTAAACACCTGGACTGCCTGTCCTGTTCCCACGCGGGGCAGTGAGGATCTGCTTGGCAGTGTGTGTCCTTTGCTTTTTTTTTTTTTTTTTTTTTTTTTTTAAACGAAGCCTTTGGAGCCCATTTATCTCCTATTTTGGAGCTTTTCGATTCATTCCAAGATTTTGGTGCCTTATAAGTGCCTGATGGTATTGTTATTATTTTACATCTCTGAGTATTTCTTTAGAATACATTTCTGGACAGAATTTCCTGGTAACAGGGTATGCTGCATACTGCCAGATTTTCTTCTAGAATGGATACTGCTTTCCATTTTCTCCAACAGTTTATTAAGTACAATTCTCTTTTTAAAAAATACTTGTTATTGATTTTAAGAGAGAGGAAAGGAGAGGGAGAGGGAGAGGAAGAGAAGCATTGATGTGAGAGGGACTTTTGTATTATTGTTTTTATTTGTTTTAAATATATTTGATTGATTTTTACAGAGAGGAAGGGAGAGGGATAGAGAGTTAGAAACATTGATGAGAGAGAAACATCAATCAGCTGCCTCCTGCACACCCCCTACTGGTGATGTGCCTGCAACAAAGGTACATGCCCTTGACCAGAATCGAACCCGGGACCTTTCAGTCCACAGGCCGACGCTCTATCCACTAAGCCAAACCGGTCAGGGCTGTATTTGTTTTTAAAATTAAGCCTTCTGCATGTGGCTGTCGGGAATCTAGCCTGCAACTCGGGCATGTGCTCTGCCTGGGACTCCCCGGCAGCCTTTCGGAGCTTGGAATGACGCCCAACCAACCGAGGCTGAGAGGACAGCTCTTTGTGGCAACTGCGGGGGTTTCTTCCTTTTTTTTTTTTTACAGAGAGAAAGAGAGAGGGATAGAGAGTTAGAAACATTGATGAGAGAGAGTCATTGATCAGCTGCCTCCTGCACACCCCCCACCAGGGATGTGCCCGCAACCAAGGTACATGCCCCTGACTGGAATGGAATCCGGGACCTTTCAGTCCGCAGGCCGACGCTCTGTCCACTGAGCCACACCGGTTTTGGCGGTTTCTTCCTTTGAAAGCCTCTCCTCCTCAGCGGAAGGGGAGGAAGGAAGCCTCGGGTAAAGGGCGGGGTCTGTAACAGCTTCTACTTCCTTGCAGGGCCTCAGGGGGCTGTATCGGGGGATGGCTGCCCCCATCATTGGGGTCACCCCCATGTTCGCCGTGTGCTTCTTCGGCTTTGGTTTGGGGAAGAAACTGCAACAGAAACACCCGGAAGACGTGCTCAGGTGAGTGCTCACAGGCCCGGAGCACCCGATGGGCTGCCTGTGGTGACAGGTGGAGGCTGTCCTCCGGCCCAGCGCTGCCTTGAAAGGCCACAGGGGGGAGCTGCTTACATGTCCTCTGCCCTGCGAACCAGGAGGGAAAAGGCACCCCCTCCTTCCTCGCCGGGCTGTCTGATTCCTTCTGTAAAGCAGCGTGGCCCTTACTGGGACATCACTGATAGGGGGATATCACTGACACAGGGACATCACTGACACGGGGGACATCACTGACAGGGGACATCACTGACAGGGGACATCACTGACACGGGGACATCACTGACAGGGGACATCACTGATACAGGGGACATCACTGACACGGAGACATCACTGATAGGGAGACATCACTGACACGGGGACATCACTGACAGGGGGACATCACTGATACAGGGGGACATCACTGACACGGGGACATCACTGACACGGGGACATCACTGACACGGGGACATCACTGACACCGGGACATCACTGACACGGGGATATCACTGATACAGGGGGACATCACTGACACAGGGACATCATTGATACAGGGGGACATCACTGATACAGGGGGACATCACTGACATGGGGACATCATTGATACAGGGGGACATCACTGACACGGGGACATCACTGACAGGGGACATCACTGACAGGGGACATCACTGACACGGGGACATCACTGACAGGGGACATCACTGATAGGGGGACATCACTGACAGGGGGACATCACTGACAGGGGACATCACTGATACAGGGGGACATCACTGACAGGGGACATCACTGACACGGGGACATCACTGACACGGGGACATCACTGACAGGGGACATCACTGATAGGGGGACATCACTGACAGGGGGACATCACTGACACGGGGACATCACTGACACGGGGACATCACTGATACAGGGGGACATCACTGACACCGGGTCATCACTGACACGGGGATATCACTGATACAGGGGACATCACTGACAGGGGACATCACTGACAGGGGACATCACTGACAGGGGATATCACTGATACAGGGGACATCACTGACACGGGGACATCACTGACACGGGGACATCACTGACACGGGGACATCACTGATAGGGGGACATCACTGACACGGGGACATCACTGACACGGGGATATCACTGATACAGGGGACATCACTGACACGGGGACATCACTGATAGGGGGACATCACTGACAGGGGGACATCACTGACAGGGGACATCACTGACACGGGGACATCACTGACAGGGGACATCACTGACAGGGGACATCACTGACGGGACATCACTGACACGGGGACATCACTGATACAGGGTGGAACTGCCTGAGGCCCAGCTGTCAGGCGTGGGGTTAGGGGCGGCCTGGGGCTGAGGCGAGTGAGGGAGGCTCCTCAGCAGCATTTGCTCGCTGTGGCCTGCGGAGAGGTTCATTGTGGCTGTAGGTGCCGGTGTGGCTAATCCCGGAGGAAAAGATGGCGAAGTGGCCTGACAGCTGTGGGCTGCACACCGGACCCCCGGACACTCAGTGTGGCTCGTCCTGTGGGGCCAGGGTGAGGAGCCATCATGCCTGTCGGGTGCCATCCCCGTCTGCCCTTCCCCAGCCTCTCATAGCCCGTTCCCGAGGACCGGCCAGGCCGCCCCCACCGCCTGGTCCCTGGCTTTGTGTCCGGCTGGAATCTTGGCTTAGAATGTTCTCAGGCCCGTGGTGCTCCTGAGGAGGCGAGATTGGAGCAGACCTGGGCCCGACTGAGATCCAGGTCCAGCCCCTCCCCAGCATCCCTGAGTTTTGTGGCTGGGAACTCAAGGCCCAGAGCTGGAGAGTTGTCCATAGTCATGTGCATGGCAGGCCCCGGGGGAAACCGAGTCTCACCACGGAGCTGCTCCTGCAGGTGAGGCTGCTGTGTCACATGGCTCCTGACACCGAGGCCCTGCCTGGGAGGTGTGACAGCAGAATGCCCCTGGACCCGGCTTCCGTGCAGAGTGTGACTTATTTTTCTTACACAGTCACCCCTGCGGATTGCCTCTGTCCTGGGCAGGTGTCACAGGCACTTGCCTCTGTTTTTTTTTTTTGTTTTTTTTTTTTAAGTGTGTATGTGTGTGTGTATATATATATATATATATATATATATATATATATATTATTGATTTTTTACAGAGAGGAAGAGAGATGGATAGAGAGTTAGAAACATCGATGAGAGAGAATCATCTGTCAGCTGCCTCTTGCACACCCCCTACTGGGGATGTGCCCGCAACCAAGGTACATGCCCTTGACCGGAATCAAACCTGGGACCTTTTTGTCCACAGACCGACGCTCTACCACTGAGCCAAACCGGTTTCGGCTGTTTTTGTTCTTTTTTTTTTTTTAAATACAGCTACCCCCAACTGTTTGCAGCTGGGATGCTGTCTGGCGTCTTCACCACCGGGATCATGACCCCTGGAGAAAGGATCAAGTGCCTGTTACAGGTGAGGGTGGGATCTGGATAGGGGAGTGGCCAGCTTTTCTGTTCAGATAAACTATGTGTATGTTTATGTCTTTTCACCTTTTTTTTTTTTAATTTCAGAGAGGAAGGAAGGGGGAGATAGAAACATCAACGATAAAAATATAGTATGTAAAAATAAATAAATAAACATCAATGTGAGAGAGAAACATCCATCAGTTGCCTCCCATAACCACAACCTAGGTATGTGCCCAGACCAGGAATGTGCCCTGACCACTCCTCTCCCCGCTCCAGGCTTTAACCACTCCAGCAACCATTAATCTATATTCTATTTCTATAATTTTGAAATTTTAAGAATGTTATTGGAAAACACTCTAACCAACTGAACCACCAGGCCAGGGCCACACAGGACCTCTTTTAAAAGCAAATATTACCACTTTTCCTAGGAATAGCTGAAGTAGTTTATACACAATTCTTGCTGGAAATTTTTGATAATGCAGAGAAGCACAAAACAAACCACATACGTATTTATCACCCATGATGCTACCCCACTGAGGTAACCACGGTTACGCTTCTGTGTGAATTCTAGTCTTTTTGGTTAACTTGTATATTAAGTTTGAAATAAAATTGGTATCACCTATTACAATTTTTATAACCAACTTTCCTCCCTTAATATACCATATTATTTTTCTGTGATTATTTTTCTCAAGCATAATTTTCTGCAACTGATTTCATTATATATGGCTGTCATTTACCCATAACCCCTCACCTGGGGGTGTGACATTATATGCCACAGCAAAGCTTTCTGCACATGCTCCTGATGGTTCTGATGAATATTATTTGCTTATATTTTTCCGTGGGAAGTACCTAGTATTTGTGTTCTTTGCTCTTTTTTTTTTTTTTTTTCCTAAATTGATTTATAAAAGCTTTGGACAGATGAAGGTTATTTTTTTTCCCTTTGAGATTAAGGTTAGTAATCACTTATGTGGCCAGTTCTTTTTCCTGGTTTACAATTGTCATGCCATTTTGTATATTTTTTAAATTAGGCTTTTTATTTTGAGATAATGAAATAGGCTCACGCGCAGTTGTGAGAACTAATATAAAGAAAAAACAAGGAAAGAAATAATACATAGCAACCCCTCGTGCCCTTTACCCCCATTTTCTCACAATGGTAACATCTTAAACTATGGCACAATGTTACCACCAAGGTACTGACATTGATACAGTCACCACCCAGAACATTTCCAGCCTGCCACCGTCGGTCCTTTGTATTACACTCTTATAACGCACCTCTTATAACCATATTCACTCCTCTCCCCGCTCCAGGCTTTAACCACTCCAGAACCATTAATCTATATTCTGTTTCTATAATTTTGAAATTTCAAGAATGTTATATAAATGGAATCTTACAGTATGTGAAATTTTCTTTTTTAATATGTTTTATTGACTTTAGAGAAGAAGGGAGAAGGAGAGAGAGAAACATCAACGATGAAAGGGAACCATTGATCGGCTGCCTCCTGCTTCCCCTACTGGGTATTGAGTCTGCCACCCAGGCATGTATCCCGGCTGGAAATCGACCTCCTGGTTCATAGGTCGATGCTCAACCACTGAGCCAAACTGGCTGAGCTTATGTTGGCTTTTTAAACTCGGCATAAATTTCTGGAGATTCATTCCTATTGTTGACGTATGAATAATTCATTCCTGTTAAGGAGTCCATGGTGTGGATGAACCACAACATGTTTAACTTTTTATCCACTGAAGGACATCTGGGTTGCTTCCAGTTTGGGGCTATTATGAATAAAGATGTTATAAACATTTATATACAGAGATTTTTCTTAGAAAACAAATCTTCACTTCTCTGGGATAAATGCCCAGTAGTACAGTTACTGAATCATATGGTAGCTGCATGTTTAGTTTTTTAAAGAAACTGCCGACCTGTTTTGGGTTTGCACTGTTTTCCCCACCGGCAGTGTGTGAGCGATCCCGTTTCTCTGCGTCCTCACCAGCATCTGGCGTGCTCACTGCTTTAATTTTAGCCGTTCTGACAGGCGTGTGGGGCAGCTCTTTTTAACTTGCATTTCCCTAGTAGCGGGAGAGGTTGAGCTTTTCTTATGTGCTCTTTGCTCCCTGTATTTCCTATTTGGTGAAATGTCTGTTCATATATTTTGCCCATTTTCTAATTGGATTATTTTTATATTATTGAGTTGTGTTTTTTTTAATATATTTTATTGATTTTTTTACAGAGAGGAAAGGAGAGAGAGAGCTAGAAACATCGACGAGAGAGAAACATCGACCAGCTGCCCCTTGCACACCCCCTACCGGGGATGTGCCCGCAACCAATGTACATGCCCTTGACCGGAATCGAACCTGGGACCCTTCAGTCCTCAGACCGACGCTCTACCACTGAGCCAAACCGGCTTCGGCTATTATTGAGTTTTGACAGTCCTTTATTCTAGATAATAGTGCTTTGTTAAAAATGTGGCTTATAAATATATTCTCCCAGTCTGTTGTTATTTTTAGAGAAAATTGACATCTTTTTCCTCCCAGTTTTTTTGTTTCAAGAAAAACAATTTTAAATATAATAATGCAATAGACCTTAATATTTCAAGAAAAATAAACTTAACTATAATGTTACATGCAGCAAACATTAATATCTCAAGAAAAATGATTTTAAATATGATATTGTTACATGCAATAAGCACCAATGATCTAAGAAAGATGATCTTATATATAATATTACATGACATGCAATAAACAATATTTCAAGAATAAAAGGATTTTTTAAAAATATATTTTATTGATTTTGCACAGAGAGGAAGGGAGAGAGATAGAGAATTAGAAACACCGATGAGAGAGAGTCATCGATCAGCCGCCTCCTGCACACCCCCTACTGGGGATATACCCGCAACCAAGGTATCGAACCCGGGACCTTTCAGTCTCCAAGCCGACGCTCTATCCATTGAGCCAAACCGGTCCCGGCAAGAATAAAAGGATTTTAAGTATACTAATATTACCAAAACTGTTGCTAACATAGTATGGTATCACAAAAGTTGAAGGAAATATCAAAAATCTGCAAATAACAGGATTACTTCTATTAGATTCTAGAATATCCCCCCCCAGCTCTATTTTTGTCCATCAGCTTATGTTGTTCATTATATTCCACACATGAGTGAGATCATACGATATTTATCTTTCTCTGACTGGCTTATTTCACTTAGCATGATGCTTTTAAAGTCTATTTTGTGGGATGTGAGTATTGCTACTCCAGCTTTTTTTCTTTTCCATTTGCATGGAAGATTTTCCCGTCCCTTCACTTTCGTCCTGTGTGTCTTTGGTTTTGAGGTGGGTCTCTTGCAGGCAGCTCGGGGCTGTCTTTCTCGAGATCATTTCTGGGGTTACACCTGCCTGCCCTCGGCTCCTGGCTCTTAGGCGCTGGGTCCCTGGGCTGGGGTGGGGACCACTCTGCACAGGGCCTCTGTCCAGACACAGAGAGCTCTGCCTGCGAGCCGCAGTTTGCCGACCACTGGACTAAGTGAATGACTGATGTACCTGTCTCCTCCCGTCTAGATCTCCCAGCTCACTGGATTGGGGATGCTTTAGTGCCTGGGGAGTGCTCCACTCTCTCCAGCTCCTCTGCTGATTTTTTCTAGTCAGTGCGTGTGCGTTCTGTGTTCCTTTCACCTGCCTATTTCATGGTGACTCGCACCAACATTGTGCCTTCCGCATGACCGTTGTTTTGACCGTCACCTTCTGTTGGGCCCATGCCACTGAGCATGTCCTCACGCCCTCTGCCGTCCTCTGTGACCCGCTGCCTCCCTGCTCCCCGCAGATCCAGGCTTCCTCCGGGGAAACCAAGTACACCGGCGCCCTGGACTGTGCGAAGAAGGTGTACCAGGAGTCTGGCATCCGCGGCATCTACAAGGGCACGGTGCTGACCCTCATGCGAGGTAAGCCTTGACCCCCGCAGGTCACCCCTAATATGGGGCCACCTGCCATACTGGCCTTGGCACCACAGTGCCGCCACGCTGACAGGCCGGGACTGCGTGTTCTAGGCAGTCGCACCTCTGGCAACAGGGACACATACCAATATGGGGGACCTTCCATCCTCTGCTGGGCTGCCCCCGAGGGTAGACGTCATGACAGTGACAGTGGAGAGAGGGGCAAGTAGGTAGAAATTGTGGCTGGAGGGGTGAGTGGGGGGAAAGAGTGACTTTGGAGTTATTGGGCACTCTCCCTGTTTTTGTGGGTTTTTTAAAAATACATTTAATACACACACACACACACACACACACACACACACACACACTGTATTTTCCGGCGTATAAGACGACCCCCTAATTTTACAGTTAAAACATAGGTTTAGGCCTATATTTGCTGTATAAGACTACCCCCCACTTCAAAGAAAAGACTTACTTTGCCGTCAAGATTTGCAGGTATATTTTATTGATTTTTTTTACAGAGAGGAAGAGAGAGGGAGAGAGAGAGTTAGAAACATCGATGAGAGAGAATCATTGATTGGCTGCCTCTTGCACAACCCCCACTGGGGATGTGCCCGCAATCAATGTACATGCCCTTGACCGGAATTGAACCTGGGACCTTTCAGTCCACAGGCCGACGCTCTATCCACTGAGCCAAACCGGGTAGGGCTTTAATACATTTTTATTGATTTCAAAGAGGAAGGAAGAAGGAAATAGAAAGATCAATGAGGAGAGAGTCATTGATTGGCTGCCTCCTGCACGCACCCTACTGGGGAGCGAGCCTGCAACCTAGGCATGTGCCCTTGAACCTGGGACCCTTCAGTTCGCAGGCCGATGCTCTACCCACTGAGCCAACCGGCTAAGGCTCTCCCTGGATTTGAGAGGCAGCAGGAGAGGCAGAGATGGCCCAGCCTTGTCCTGAGCTGGTAGCTTGGAGGAAGGCCAGGTGCAGTTATAACTGCTTGGAGTGGGCTTGTCAGTAGGGACCACGCAGAGGGACTTCGAACATGAAGTGATGTCGTGTGTTTACGCTCGCTCACCAGCACTTGTGGAGCAGCTTCTGGTCCTACATCGCAGTTATGCAAACAGGCTGTGCTTCTGCGGGACCTCCCTGGACGCCCTGAAGGGTGTGCCCGATTGGCTCTGTAAGCTCAGGAAATCCGTGGGGACTTATGTCGTTAACTCACATCTCTCTTGCCACTGACAGACGTTCCAGCCAGTGGGATGTATTTCATGACATACGAGTGGCTGAAAAATATCTTAACTCCGGAGGGAAAGAGGTGAGGAGAAAGGATAGCGCGAAGCCACTTCGTTCCGAATGGGGAGGCTGCCTGCTGAGTGCTGTCTGGAGGCAGAAGTGGGCTTGCTTCTGGCCCAGGCCCCCTTTCCTCATGGCGCTGAGGCCCAGCTGACACCTCTCTCGCTCTGTGTCTCACCCAACGGAGCAAGTGTTTGAAACAAGCGCAGGTGCCAGGAGCCCTGGTCTTGGCCCTTCTCGCTCCGGCCCGTTCCCCCCTCGCTGTCTGGCAGGAGGGCGTCGGCATGCCCCTCACAGCCGTGTCTGGCTCTGCTTGGTCTGCAGCGTCAGTGAGCTCAGCGTGCCCCGGATCCTGGTGGCTGGGGGCGTCGCTGGGATCTTCAACTGGGTGGTGGCCATCCCCCCGGACGTGCTGAAGTCCCGCTTCCAGACTGGTGAGTGGAGGGCAGAGGGGTGGGGGGAGGCGGGTCTGGAACCGGCTGCCCCTGGGGTGCAGAGCCACTCCCTCTCCACAGCACACCCAGGCCCGTCTGACCAGCATGCTCCTTGGCAGTCGAGTTCTAGAACCCCAGGCTTGTTTTCTTTTCGGCCTGAACCCAAAGTGAGTGAGATAAGAAGTCAATCAACCGGAACAGGAGGCCTTTTCTTTCTTTCTTTTTAAAAAAATATACTTTATTGATTTATTACAGAGAGGAAGGGAAAGGGATAGAGAATTAGAAAATTTGATGAGAAACATCGACCAGCTGCCTCCTGCACACCCCCTACTGGGGATGTGCCTGTAACCAAGGTACATGCCCTTCACCGGAATTGAACCCGGGACCTTTCAGTCCGTAGGCCGACGCTCTATCCACAGAGCCAAACCGGTTAGGGCAGGAGGCCGTTTCACTGTTACCCCCTCTCTGTCCCCCTCAGCACCAGCGTCTGTCCCAAGCTGAGCCGTGCTGCCTGTGGCCTGGTCTCGGGGGACCTGGAGGTGCCCCCGTGCTGTGACCCCGCAGGAAGCCTGAGTGCAGGATGGCCCTCCCGGGGTCACCATGTCAGGTCAGGAAGCTCCCGGAGACTTACCAGTCGGGTTCTGCCCACAGCGCCTCCTGGGAAATACCCCAACGGTTTCCGGGACGTGCTGACGGAGCTGGTCCAGCGCGAAGGGGTCACGTCCTTGTACAAGGGGTTCAACGCCGTGATGATCCGAGCCTTCCCAGCCAACGCGGTGAGTGGCGGCGTGCGCTCCTGGGGCGGGGAGGCAGGGCGACCTTTGCCGGCTCCTGGATCGGATCGGATGGGATTGGGGGCTCGGTCCCCCCCCCCCCCCCCCCCCGAGCCTTCTAACCGGCTTCCTTTCCCGGAGATGCTGGGAAGAATCACCAAGTGATTCTCGGAGGTGAGGGGCTTTGCTCACCGGGCCTGGCCGGCGCGGGCCGCTGCGGACATGCATCTTCTCCCCTCTGGGGAGTGGGAGCCCGTGAGCCCCTGGCCTGCCGGGGGGAGTGCGGTCAGGGAAGGTCTGGGCCTGCCGAGGCGGCCAGGGTGCTGCTGGGGTCGGAGTGGTCACAACTCCCGCTCGCTTCTCCTCCCAAACCCTCCCAGGCCTGTTTCCTTGGCTTTGAAGTTGCCATGAAGATCCTTAACTGGATCACCCCCAACTTGTGAGGCTGAAGGCTGCTCGAGGCTCCTGGATGCTGGAAACTTCCTGAAGAGGAGCGGTGGGCAGGACTGGGCCGTCCTGAAGGGGGAGGGGGAGAGCTCAGAGCTCTGTGCGGGGACTTGCTGAGAGAGACCGACCGACCGACTGACCGACCGTGTGCCTTAATGACATCCTCCACCTCCGGAGCCGGAGCTGGTGTGCCCTTTGAAGCCTGAAGTCGCTCCTGTCAGTGTAAGGGATCCCAGGAGCTTCTAGACTGCAGACCCCTGTGGCCAGACGGCTGGCCCTACTGTACCCCAAACGCTGGTCTCAAAGAGGAGCTCAGCCTTGCCTGGAGGCACCATGCATGTTTACAGCCAGCTGGCCAGGAGCCGGGCCTTCTTTGATCCCTAGCCAAGAACCCCACCATGACATGCATGGGGAGGGGGTGGACTCGAGACCCGTGCCTGTCAGCGAGTGGCATGAGCGTGTGTAGGCGGCAGCCGCGCGGCGGGCCGCTGGGTTAGGCATGCGAGTGATCACTGCGCCGAGTAGTCTCCGTTCTCAGGTAGAGAGCTTTCCCTCCTCCGTGAGGCGTCTGGGGGGTAGTCCCAGCCTGCGGGGTGAGCACGCCCACGGTGCAGGAAGGCTCTCCTTGCACTCTTTCCCCACGAGAGCCCCCTGTTTGAACAGGAAACAATAAAACATTTTTCATTTTTGCGTGGCGTGAGAATTCTCTCTCTTGGTTCTGAGTCATTTCAGCAGGCAGCCTGCGCCTGGGTCGAGGCTGTCTGGGACCCAGTATCCCTCCCTGGCTGCTTCAGCTCCAGCTGGAGGAAGAGGGGCCGTTTGGCCAGGCACAGCTGCTGGAGGTAGAGTGGGGCGGGTGGGGGGGGGGGGCTGGATTAGTAACTGTTCTCATAACCCTCAGTGCAAGCCTGGCTCCAGGCCCCTCAGGCCCAGCCTGCAGCGTCTCCGTCATTCCTTAGCCTCTCCCCACTTGGCCACCTGGGTGTCTGAGCGAACAGACGGAGAGTCAGTTGTTCTCAAAGGCCAAAAGCAGTCCTGAGTTTTTTTTATTTTGTTAATCCTCACCCGAGGATATTTTCCCATTAATTTTTAGAGAGAGTGTGAGAGAGGGAAAGACGGGGAGAAACATGGATGTGAGAGAAACACATCAATTGGTTGCCCCCCGCATGAGCCCCGACCAGGGCCTGGGCCAGGGAGGAGCCTGCAACCATGTGTTGGACTGGAAGTGAACCAGAGACCCTTCGGTCTGCAGGCCGACCTCTGACCACCAAGCCCAACTGGCCAGGGCCCGTCCTGAGTTTCCCGGTGGCTCTGGGCTGCGTATGACCTGCAGTCACCGGCCTGGCTTTGGGCCACGGGCTGAGGACGCCCAGGTGCTGCCCGCAGGTGAGGGAGTCGGCGAGGTCACGGCGCGCCTGTCCCTGTTTCTGCCCTGGAGGCTGAGGGTGAGGCTGTGGGAGCCGGCGGCTCTGGCACCGGCCCGGCTGGCAGGCAGCCGGGAGGCACTGGCTCTTCCCTTCTCGCTGCAGCTTCCCAGAGACCCTTGGACTTTGGCTTCAGAGCCGCCGTTCTGTGTAACGGGTGCGTGGGCAGGGATCACACACGCCTGGCGGCGGACATGCCCGCCTGGCCGGAAGCCGAGGGTTTGGGGGGTTAAGGGAGCCATTTCTGGGTGACCAGATAGGCATGAGGTAGCTTTCATCATTCAACATCAAAACAACACTTTTTAGAGGAAAATGGCGTGCTGCCTGCCTGGGAAGGTTGATGCGGCCTTCAGCTGCCCGGCCCATGCGCAGGATTCTGTGCCATCGCTTCAGCTTGGAGGCGGCCACTGTGTCCCCAGCTCAGCCCACCCAGGGTTTTGGGGTGGGGTTTGTTTTTTTATTTCATTTTTTTAAGTTTTTTTTTTTTAGCTTTATTTATTTTTAAAAATATTTTTATTTCAGAGAAAAAGGGAGGGAGGGAGGGAGGGAGAGAAACATCAATGATGAGAGAAAATCATTGGCTGTCTCCTGCACACCCCACCCTGGGGTTCAAGCCCACAATCTGGGCAGGCGCCCGACCAAGAATTAACGGTGATCTGGTTCATAGGTCGAAGCTGAACCAACCCCTGAGCCCGGACCGGAGCCGGAGCTAGGCCCACCAGGTTCTGAGAGAGGCCAGAGCTGGGGCTCTTGCGGGAAGCCCCGAGTGCATTTGCATTCCGGGGAAATGCCAGCTGCTCCCACGCTCAGGGTCGCTGGCAGCCCGGCTCAGGGTCACTGGCAGCCTGGCTCCTGGTCGCTTGCCCTTTGGCAGCTTCTATTTTGAAGTGGAATGCTTGGCTCTGTGATGCTAGTGGGGGTGATTCTTCTCTGGGCCTTCCAGGCCGGTCAGGCAAAGGGGAAGCCGGGAGGCATGTTTGTGAAGGGAGGGACCGATGGGGAGCGGCTCCCTGGAGGCACTCCCTTTCCGTGATGCCCTTTGAAATGCCACCTGCTCGGTATCGCTCCTCCCGCCCCCACGGCCCCCATGGAGGTGAGCGTGGGGGAGACTGGGGCCTCCGTGGTGGTTTCTGTCACAGCTCGCCTTACGCAGAAGCCAGAAGTGTTTCTTAAAACAGCCGCGGGACACAGCCTCACCCAGGCCCAGAGCCCAGTGTAACTGGGTCAGAGGTGAAGGACAGCGGTCCTGCACCAGCAGCTACTAGAAGCCACAGGAGCACCCTTTCTGCAGGCCATACCATCGCTGCCCATGGTTCTTTCCCACGGCTCTATTTTTAATGCATTTTTATTGATTTCAGAGAGAGAGAGAGAAACATCAATGATGAGGGAGAATCATTGATGGGCTGTCTCCTGCACGCCACCTGTTGCGGATGGAGCCCGCAACCCGGGCGTGTGCCCTTGGCCAGAATCCAATTTGGGACCCCTCAGCCCAGAGGCTCCACCCACTGAGCCAAGCCAGTGAGGGCGCCCACGGTTCCTTTGAGGCTAGAACCCACTCTGCCCTTCCTAACTCCTTGGGGTTCATCCTCCTCCTCTCTCTGTCCCCATGTCACTCAGTGTTTAATGGGGGGGATTTTTACCCCCCACTTTCAGATGTGGAAGGCAAGGCTCAGACAGGGTCACTGGGTCTGCCAAGAGCAAGTCCCTGGAGCGGGACACTGGTTCAAATAGACCCCCCAGCCCCGCCGGCGTGGCTCCGTGGTTAAACGTTGACCTAAGAACCAGGAGGTCACGGTTCCATTCCCAGTCAGGGCACAGGCCTGGGGGAGGGATTGTGGACGCTGAACAGGGCAGAGGGAATAGCCACTTCCCCAGGCCCTCCTGGCCCCCGGGCTCATGAACAGAAACGAAGGGCAGCAGATCCTCAGTGATCTCGGAGGACTGGGCTGGGGCCTGGCCCGCAGAGGTGGTCAGGTGAGCACAGGACTCAGGAGGACTGGAGTGGCTGAGAGAAGTGGCCCCTTTGGACAGAGAAAGGAGGCTTTCCTGCTGGGGCTGAGTCTTTGTCTCTCCCCCCCCCCCCCCCCCACACACACAGAAGGCAGAGAGCACTAGAGGGCAGAAGGTGTGCAGATTGGGGAGGGCCTGGGCCAAAGCAGGCCTCCATAGGAGTCGGGGGGAGTCTGGGCCTCGGTTCTTCCCGGAAAAAAAGAAAACATTTTAAATAAGAGGCCTCTCAGAGTACACGAAACACTGTTTTGTCAGAAACAGCAGCTGGTAGCCGGCCCGTGCTCATTTCCCCAGACTCCCAGCTCCGGGCTCCAAGGGGGGGCTCCGTCCACAGCTGTAAGCACCTCAGGGAACCGCCCGCTGTGGCCGGGGCTGCCCGGGGCTGGTGTGCGGCGGTCTGTGCGAGACGTGGCTGCTGCGGGCAGTGAGGAGGCTGGGAGCCCAGCTCCTGTTGGGGCTCAGGGGCCTCCGCCTCCCCACCAGGAGCCCCCTGTTCCTCTGGCTTCTGGGGCTTCTCCTCCAGCCTTCCCCCACCCACCAGCACTTGCAGCTGTTCTGCGTTCCTAGCTACCTGTGATCTGTTTAGGTTGTCATGGTAACCCCTGGTGCAGCTGCTCTGGTTTGAATGAAGGCCGTCCTAGGAGGGGAAGGGTCCAGGGCGGAAGCTGGGGGCTCAGGCCCGGGGCATTTTCTTTTATTCCCGTGCCCTCTTTGGCCAACCCCACGGGGCATTCATGAAGGCCCTTGGGACTCCGAGTCCTCCTGAGGGGTTTCCCGGGAGGGACAGAGGGGGTCCACACCGGCCTGGAGGCTGGCTGTCTGTTGGGACCCTGAGGCTGGTCTGGGGAGACAGGCCAGCAGCTTCACTCCCGCCAGGTCCCTCTGACGCCGTGTTTGTTGATGGGTAAACGGCCAAGCTGCACAACTGCTGGGAACCTGCCAGGTAAGCCACCCTGCCTGCTGCTGGCTGAGCCTCGCTGGGCCCGCCCGCCCAGCTCCTCAGCCCCGGGGCGGCCGCCCTCTACCCTGTTTTGTCATCGTCATCGAGGTCAGAGTCCTAACTGTGCAGGTGCCTGTCCCCCTTGAAAGCATATAAAACCTGACAAATGAGCAACCAGGGAGTGGCGTGGTGATCTTGCCTTGGCGAAGGGTGGGGTGTAGGACTGCTTGGAGCAGGGGCCTCTCCTCAGGTGTGACGGAGCAGTGGGAGTCAGCCCCGTGTCCTGGGCGCGGGCTGCCTCCGGCCAGTTGGAAAGGCTGGTCTTCCCAGCAGCACAGACGATGGAGGAACCTGCCCGCGGCCTCTCGCTGCCTTCAGAGCCTGAGCTCAGCACAGCTCTGGTTCTGAGACGGGGAGCTCAGAGAGCTGTGTGGGCATGTGTCCTTCACTGGTTCAGTGACCCTTCTCCAAGAGTGCCGTCAGGGCCCGGCTGGACCCTGCCTCCCCTCACAGCACTGATGATCTCAGACTCCTTCCAGGGGCCGGCACTGAGCTGCTGGCTGTGCCGAGCCGAGCAGAGCAGAGAAGTCCTGAGGGTTTCAGTGAACACTGAGCAGCTACAGGCAGAGCTTCACCATCCCAGGCTCCCAGGCCTGCAGCCAGCTGCTTTCCGGCGGGGCCTGGCAGAGGGAGGACGCGGTCCCGTGTCCACGGGCCTTTGGTCCCTCCTGGGCTGTGGCATGGACATCCCAGGGAAGTCTTCACCTTTTCCGATTCACTTCCACCCTGGTGTGGGCGCATGGGCAGTCGACGGACCCCTTCCCTTTGCCCGTGTGCCCACCCCGGAGGCGGAGGGTAACACTGCCGTGGGGTCTGCTCAGCACCGGGGAGCAGCGCTGGCCGGGGCCCAGGGCAGCGTGTGGGAGGAGGGACCAGCGGCCGTGGCCCTGGGAGCCCAGCGCAAGAGGAAGAACAGGCACATGACGTTCCCGCGAGGCCTCATCCCCTTTTCCAAGGCCGGTGTTTGGCGTCCCTGGCTCCTTTGTCTGCCTTTGGCTCCCACATCTGTAGATTATTGAAACCTCTATCACAGCCCTAGCCAGTCACGGCCCTAGCCAGTATGGCTCAGTGGATAGAACACTTGCCCGCAGACTGAAGAGTCCCGTGATTCAATTCTGGTCAAAGGGCACGTGCAGAAGGCAGTGGAGGCAGCTGATTACTCTCTCATTGATTTTTTTAAATTGATTTTTTAACAGAGAGGAATAGAGAGTTAGAAACATCCATAAGACAGAAACATCGATTCAGCTGCCTCTTGCATACCCCCCCACTGGGGATAACCAAGGTACATGCCCTTGGCCAGAATCGAACCTGGGACCCTTCAGTCCACAGCCCGACTCTCTATCCACTGAGCCACACCGGTTAGGGCTCTCACCTATGTTTCCAACTCTCTATCCCTCTCCCTTCCTCTTTGTAAAAAGAATAAAGTAAAAAATATTTTTAAAAAAGAAAAAAGAAGAAAGAAAAGAAAGGAAAGGAAAGGTATCTAAGACTAGCTACATGGGAGGCGCTAACTACTCTACGTAGCCACTAGACTAGAGACCGTTCATTCATTGTGGGGCCGCCGCGGGAACTGCCAGGCGGGGCGGCGCACGCGCACGCGCGGCTCGCGCTCGGCGGGGGCGCGCTCGGCGGGGGCGCGCACGCTCGCGGCCGCGTGCGTCACAACCCGGGCCGGCCCCGCCCGTGCCGCTGCCCGCGGCTGGGTCCCTGCGCGGCGGCGGCGGCGGCGGCACCGGCCGGGCGAGCGGCGGGCGGTCTGCGGCCCGGAGACGCGCAGCCGCGCGAGGAGCCGACCGCGGTCGCGCGTGAGGAGACCACGCGGGCGGCGGGCGCGAGGCCGGCGTGAGGGCGGCGCCGGCGGCCGGCCCCGCCGGGCCCCGCCGGTCCGGCCCGCCGCCGCCGGCATGAGCCACATCCAGGTGCCGCCGGGGCTCACGGAGCTGCTGCAGGGCTACACGGTGGAGGTGCTGCGCCGGCGGCCGCCCGACCTCGTCGACTTCGCCGTCGACTACTTCACCCGCGTGCGCGAGGCCCGCGCGCCGGCCGGAGCGCCGCCCGCCGCCGCGCGGCAGCCCGAGGGGCCGGGCCCGGGCGGCGCCGAGGCGGAGAGCGAGTCCGAGTCCGAGTCCGAGGAGGAGGCGGACGGTAGGCGGCGGCCGGGGCCGGGGCCGGGGCCGGGCGGGCCGGGTCGGGCCGCGCCTGTCGCGCCCGGAGGGAGCCGGCCGGTCCCGCCTCCGAGGAGCGCGCGGGGCCCAGCAAGCAACCGGAGCCCGGGCCGCCGCCCGGAGCCCGGGCCGCGCGGCCCCGGAGGCGGGACACCCCCGGCCCGGCCCGGCCCGGAGGGGGAGCTTGGGAAGCGTTCGTCTGTGGAAAGTTCCCGGGAGCTTGGAGCCTGGACGGGAGGGGAGCGGCGGTTTAAGCGGTGCCCGCTCCCCTCTGCCCAGGTGCCTCCCGGACACGCTGTCGGGGATCTCAGGGGGAGAACCGTCCGCGTGAGAGACCAGGCAGGCCTGGCCCTGCGCCCCCACGGCCGGGGGGATCCGCCGCCCGGCCAGGTGCCCAGGCCGGAACCGAACCTGGGACCTCCGGTCCGAACCTGGGAACTTCCAGGCCGCGGGCCAGCTCTATCCACTGGGCCACACCGGCTAGGGCTTTCTAATGTGTTTTTATTTTTTTTATTATTTTTAAAATTTCATTGATTATGGTATCACATATTTGTCCTCACTCCCCCCCCCCCCCCCATTTCCATCCCAAACCCCTCCCCACCCCCTGTTGTCCGAGACCACCGGTTAGGCTCATATGCATGCACCCAGTCCTTTGGCCGATCTCTCCTCCTTCCCCCACCCTCCCTGCCTTCCCTCTGAGGTGAGTTCGCCTTTCTTAAATTGCGACCCCGACCCCGACCCCGACCCCGGGGCTGTTATCCCGCTCTGGAACAGCCGGATTTTACAGAACGGGGAAGGCAGGCGGCTGAGAGAGGAGGTTAGAGCCCAGTGTTGTCAGATCCCCGGGAAAAGAGAAACCTCCCCGAGCTGAATCCACATCAAGTCCCTGTGGGCCGTTGCTGTGCAGGCGTCAGTGTTCGGGCCACTTCCCTCGGTTTACCCCAGCTCTCCGTGTTCCCTTAACTTCCTGCCCATTAAACTAGGGGTCTTCACCTCAGCTCTGGAAATCAGACCGCGTTCCCAAATCCGGCCACGGATTTGCTTTGTGGTCAGGCCTGCTTGGTGGCAGATTCCTTGTCTTTAAGACGGGGCAGTGGCGGCAGTCTCCCGGGGACCCATCTTGTAAAGGCTTTGTTTCAGGAGGGGCCCTCGGTGTGTCTCACTGTCCTGTCTAGAAATCACACTTGGAAACTGCTTTTCAACATTTTTTTCTCTGGTCTCTTTTTAAAAATTTATTTTAAAATTAGAGTTGACATACAAAATTAGTTTTAGGTATAAATACAGTGATGGGACGTTTATTTATATGCCTTAGAGTGATCTCCCCATAAGTCTAGTCCCGCCTGACAGCACACAGTTATTACAATACTAGGGGCCGGTGCACCAAGTCTGGGCAAGGGGCTCGCACTGCCCACCCCCTCTTCCTTGGCCCCTGCCCCCCACGGCGGCCACCTCTGCCTCAGCCCCCACATCGGTTTAATTAGCATCTTAGGCTTTTGTTATTATAGATTAGTGATTATATTTCCTATTCTGTGCTTTATGTCCTCGTGACTATTTTTATAACTGGCATTTATACTTAATCCCTTTCACCTTTTCACCCAAACCCCTCCCATCTGGTGCCCACGAATTGTGACAGTTTTTATTGGATCCTGGGACTACCTGGATAGTTGGTAATTTGGCTGAAAAAAAAAGATTTTAGTAGAATGGTGTTTACAAGTTTTGTGTAATGTCTTCATTCTTTGTGTGTTTTTTTATTCCTTTTTCAAAGTTGAGTTACTTGGATTTTGGTGACCCTGTGCTTTATTTTACTTGTTTATATCTCTTCAGTGCTGCGCTGTGTGTAATTATAGAAGTCGGCACAGGGCGAGCTGTTTACAGATAACAGACTAAAGCCTTGCACGCAGTGAGGTAACTGCCTCACGCTCAGGAGCAAGGAAGGCTATTGGGAAAGAACAGGAAGGAGCACGTGTTGGGGAGGCTGCAGAGGAGGGGAGCTCTGCTCACTGCCGGCAGGAATGGAAATGGTCCGGCTGCTGTGGATCGAATTCCCATACGATCAAGCAATCCTGCTGCCGTGTTCCCCGAGGACTTGAAAATAGGGAGGGGGCAGGTGCTTGTGTTGCTCACTGTAGCGGAAGGCAGGGACAGCCGTGTCCCATCAGTGATGAGTGGATAAGCAAAACGTGTTAACTATTTACAGCGGAATAGTATTCACCCCCAAAAAGGAATGAGATTCTCATACTGGTACATTCATGCCACAACACAGATGAGCCTTGAAAACATCATGCTAGTGCAAATATGCCAGACACAAAAGGGCAGACATTGTATGATTCTGCTCACAAGAAGCGCCTAGAATAGCAGATTCATAGAGAAAGTCAGAAGACGTTCCTGGGCGCAGAGAGCTGGTAATGGGGAGTTAGGGTTTAAGTGGAGGCCCGTTGCATGGAGATTCGTGCAGTAGCCTCCCTTCCCCTGGCTGCCGCCTCGGTTTTCCTCTGGCACCCGGGACCCAGGCCTTCGCTCTGGCTGCGGCCAGTCAGGCTTGGTTTCCCCACTCCAGTCACAGCAGAGAAGCCAAGCCTCTGCAGTCTTAAATCTCCAGTCTTCACTCGGCCTGCATATGCAAATTAACCCACCATCTTTGTTGGGTTAATACTCATGATTGGCTGGTGGGTGCTGTGGAGGTGCAGTCAGTTTGAATATTTGTCTTTTAATAGTGTAGATCAGTGGCAGTGGTTCTCAACCTTTCTAATGCCACGACCTTTTATATATATATATATATATATATATATATATATATATATATATATTTTATTGATTTTTAACAGAGAGAAAGGGAGAGAGAGAGCTAGAAACGTCGATGAGAAACATCTTGCTGCCTCTTGCACACCCCCTCCCGGGGATGTGCCCACAACCAAGGTACATGCCCTTGACCGGAATCGAACCTGGGACCTTTCAGTCCGCAGACCGACGCTCTACCACTGAGCCAAACCGGCTTCGGCACGATCCTTTAATACAGATTGTCAAGTTGTGGTGACCCCCAACCATAAAATTATTTTTGTTGCTACTTCATAACTGTCATGTTGTTACTGTTAATGAATTGTAATGTAAAATATCTGTTTTCCGATGGTCTTAGGCGACGCAGCTAGTGGTTCTCAATCTGTGGGTTGCGGCATGAGGAAGCTTGAGGAGCTCTGGTGTAGATAGTTGCAGAGTTTCTGTTTGGGATGAAGAAAACATTCTGAAATTGAATAGGGGTAATTTAAAAATATACATATTTTTATTGCTTTGAGAGAGAGAAGAATGGAATGGAGATGGAGAGTTAAAAACATCAGTGAGAGAGAAATCAATTGGCTCCCTCCTGCACGCCTCCTACTGGGAATCAAACTTGCAACCCAGCATGTGCCCTGACTGAGAATCAAACCATTGACCGCTTGGTTCATGGGTTGATGCCTAACCACTGACCCACACCTGCCGGGCCAGAGTTTTTTAATGGAGACCAAATCTTATCACTCTGCAGTTTAATCCCCTCATTGCAAGTGAAGTGAAATCTGTGGTCCGCACAGCCCTGCGAGGTGTGGTCCATTTTCTCTGCCTTTTCTCCTGCCCTCCTTCCCGCTTAGCTCAGTTCTCACTGGCCAGGCGTTCCCTCCCCGGCTTGTCTGATTGCTTCCCTGGCTCTGACCAGCTCTGCCTTTAGGCCTCGGCTTCGGAGGGCCTTTTCCGTATTTACCTGCCTAGAGCGGCCTCTCTGCTGATCCTTCAGGGCTCTGGTAATGATGTAACATTCTTATTGGTTTTGTATTGTTTTGTTTCCATTTAGCCCGGCCCACAGTGGGTAAATGGGTGAAGGAGGACGGGGCTGACCCCGGAGCTGAGGGGACACAGGTGGGCGCTGAGGGAGGGCGGGCTGGGCCGTGGTGGGAGCAGAGGAGAGGCCGGTGTTGAAGTGGTCGGCCCAGTGTGGTTCTCAGAGGCTTCAGGGGGCGTGGGGGCGAGGTTTATGGCAGTGGGTCAGGGAGTGTGTGTGTGTGTGTGTGTGTGTGTGTGTGTGTGTGCACGCGCAGGCGCAGGTGGGGTTAAAAGATGAGGCAGGGGACGATGGGGAGTGCTTTTTGAGGAAGGGAAGCGCGGACCGAGGGAGCTGAGGCTGTGAGATATGGTTTGGTTTGTTTGTTACGGGAGAAGCGCCCTTTGCACGCTGGCTTGCTGAGCGGAAGGAGCCGGTGGAGAGGTGGCAGCTGCTGGAACAAGAGACTGGCGGGCGGTTAGGTCGGGGGAGACGGGGCAGCGCATCTCAAACTGGACAGGAATGTTAAGTAACTGAGCAGTGGCTTCACTTACAGCTACTTTAAGATTGTATGTCTTTATGCCCTTATCAAAGCCTTGTCTTGTACTTAGTTGATTCTAACAAATGTGAATGTTAAAGCTAAAGGAATATTATCTCCTTGAAACTGGTCGTTGATTTTTCTGGCTTATCTGTCTGTTGGCCATTTTGAATGTCATGGGTATATGAAAGAGAAGCGAATGAATTGTTATTCATTTTAGAGAGGGGGACGGTGGAGAGTGAGAGAAACATCGAAGTGAGGGTGATACATGGATCGGTTGCCTCCATCACCTGCCCTGACCAGGGATTGAACCTGAAACCGAGGTATGTGTCCTGACTGAGGATCAGAGACCTGGTGCACCGGACCACGCTCTCACCAGCTGAGCCACACTGGCAGGGCATAGATGCATTTTTAAAAAAATATACTTTATTGATTTTTTACAGAGAGGAAGAGAGAGGGATAGAGAGTTAGAAACATGGATGAGAGAGAAACATCGATCACCTACTGGGGATGTGCCCGCAACCAATGTGCATGCCCCTGACCGGAATAAAACCTGGGACCTTTCAGTCCGCAGGCTGACGCTCTACCACTGAGCCAAACCGGTTTCAGCCACAGATGCATTTTTAAAAGGTTTATAATTTAGACCTTTTGGGGA